AGCCTGGGCAACATGGAGAGATCCTGCCTCTACAAAAAATACCAAAAAAAAAAAAAAAAAAAAAAAAATTAGCTGGACCTGGTGGCATATGCCTGTAGTCCCAGCTACTCACTCGGGAGACTGTAGTAGGAGGATCACTGGAGCCAGAGAGGTCAAGGCTGCAGTGAGCCGTGACCATGCCAGTGCACTCCAGCCTGGGTGACAGAGCAAGGCCATCTCCATAAACAAATAAATAAATAATTTTAATAGTCACATAAGAATATATATAAAGAACAGGTAAAGTTAATTTTAATAACATTTTATTTAACCCGATATACTTAAAATGTGATCACTTCAACATGTAATCAATATAAAAATTATAAATAAGATATTTCGTGTCTGCTTTTCATACTGTCTTTGAAATCCAGTGTGCATTTCACATTGATAGCACATCTCAACTTGGACTAGCTGAATATTAAGTGCTAACTAACCACACCTGGCTGGTGGCTACCACATTGGACAGAACAGATCTGGATTATCAATTCTGGGATCTGGTCCTCTTTACCTAGTTTCGGAGCTGGAAACGCAACTCCATTATCCAAGCAACAGGCTCCACCTCCCTGGGAGAATTTGCCAGGAGGAAGGGAGGCTGCGGCTTTGTGTCCCTGCCCATAACTCCAGCCTGGGGTGCTAGGCAGGAAAATGGGCTGAGGCTGGGCCAAGGGTGTGGCCCATTTACCAATCAGAGAGCTAAGAGGTGGGAGGTCTGGGAAACTCAAGAGTCCCACCTGAGCTTTGTCCAGAAGTGAGTTCTGTCACTTCTGATTTGGGTGCATAAAGAGCTTGTAGACCCCACACCCTTGCTCTGCTGTCTCCTCCATTCTGAATGCCTTTCCTCCCCTTTCTTCAACTGCATCTGCCAAAATGTTATCCTTCAAAATGCTTAAGCTACAAAATTTAGTGAACAAAGAAAGAAGTGTAACACAGAGAAAAGACCAGAAGAAAACACCTACATTTTCGCCATGGTTTTCTCCGGGTTTTGGAACTAGATAACTATTTTCTTTCTACTTTTTCTTTTCCTTCCTTCCTTCTTTCTTTTCTTTTCTCCTTCTTTCCTTCCTTCCTTCCTTCCTTCCTTCCTTCCTTCCTTCCTTCCCTCCCTCCCTCCCTCCCTCCCTCCCTCCCTCTCTCTCTCTCTCTCTCTCTCTCTCTTTCTTTCTTTCTTTCTTTCTTTCTTTCTTTCTTTCTTTCTTTCTTTCTTTCTTTCTTTCTTTCTTTCTTTCTTTCTCTTTCTTGAAAGGATCTCCCTCTGTCACCCAGGCTGGAGTGCAGTGGCACAATAATAGCTCACTGCTGCCTCGACCTCCTGGGCTCAAGCAATCTTCCCACCTCAGCCTCCTGAGTAACTAGGACTACAGGCGTGTACCACCACACCTAGCTAATTTTTTGTTTTATTTTTTGTAGAGACAGGGATCTATCTGTGTTGTCTAGGCTGGTCTCAAACTCCTGGGCTCCAGTGATCCTCCTGTCCTGGCCTCCCAAAGTGCTGGGATTACAGGCTTAAACCACTGTGCCTAGTCCCTCTTCTTTTTACTTTTCTACATTTTCTTTTAAAAAAATGTTTTTTTTTTTAGACGGAGTCTTGTTCTGTTGCCCAGGCTGGAGTGCAGTGGCGTGATCTTGGCTCATCACAACCTCTGCCTCCTGGGTTCAAATGATTCTCCTGCCTCAGCCTCCCAAGTAGCTGGGATTACAGGTGCATGCCACCACACCCAGCTAATTTTTGTATTTTTAGTAAAGATGGGGTTTCACTATGTTGACCAGGCTGGTCTCGAACTCCTGACCTCGTGATCTGCCCACCTCAGCCTCCCAAAGTGTTGGGATTACAGGTGTGAGCAACTGTGCCGAGGTTTTTAAAAATTTTTTAAAATTATGAACATGTCAGCCGAGCATGGTTGCTCACGCCTGTAATCCCAGCACTTTGGGAGGCCGAGGTGGGCAGATCATGAGGTCAGGAGATTGAGACCATCCTGGCTAACACGGTGAAACCCTCTCTCTACTAAAAATACAAAAAATTAGCCAGGCGTGGTGGCGGGTGCCTGTAGTCCCAGCTACTCGGGAGGTGGAGGCAGGAGAATGGCGTGAACCCACAAGGCGGAGCTTGCAGTGAGTCGAGATTGAGCAACTGCACTCCAGCCTGGGTGACAGAGCAACACTGTCAAAAAATATATATATATATGAACATGTCTTAACTACATGAAAAGAAAAGAAAAGAAAGAAGGAAGGAAGGAAGGAAGGAAAAGAAAAAGTAAAAAAAAAAAAATAGCTACCTAGTTCCAAAACCCAGAGAAAACCATGGCGAAAACATAGGTGTTTTCTTCTGGTCTTTTCTCTGCGTTACACTTCTTTCTTTGTTCACTAAATTTTGTAGCTTAAGCATTTTGAAGGATAACATTTTGGCAGATGCAGTTGAAGAAAGGGGAGGAAAGGCATTCAGAATGGAGGAGACAGCAGAGCAAGGGTGTGGTGTCTACAAGCTCTTTACCAACCCAAATCAGAAGTGACGGAACTCACTTCTGGACGAAGCTCAGGCAGGACCCTTGAGCTTCCCAGACCCCCCACCTCTTAGCTCTCTGATTGGTTAATGGGTCACACCCTTGGCCCAGCCTCAGCCCATATATAATTGGAAAAATTAATTTGTTTAATACATATTTTTAAAAGCCTTACGTGGTCTTCAAAGACCAGTTAAAATGCCAACTCCCGTGAGGGTTTCTGGGACCTTGGTCTGCATTGCTTTACTCTGCTGTGGTCCTTCTTTTCTCCACAGCCTGCCTGGTACTGAGTTTAACCTGGGCCTGTCCTATCTCTTCTCCAGTGTCTTGAGGGTGGGGCCCGGCACAGTGTCAGCCACCCAGTAGGGGCTCTCTCTGTGTTGTGGACTGAATGACTGAGGCCAGCTACAGCCAAAAGGCTCCAACTGGGCCCCTGGGCCAGCTCATGCTCTGGCCTCTCTCCAGAAAAAGTCTGCAAATCTCTCTCACCCCAGAGACTGTCAGCTGCTCAGGGAAAGATCTTTTTGAAAATGCAACTGATCAAACACTTGCAACAGGCGCTGAGACATCTCCCAGATCTCGCTGTCACAAGTGCTGCAGAGGACAGGCTTCGCAGCCTCGACTACACAGACACCGCTGAAATATTTACGAGGCTGCCGGCTTGTGAAACAGCTTTGGCTGGGGAGAAAGGGAAGCGATGTGGCGCTTGTTAAGTACCTGGACGTGTCACACCTCACACCGTGCAGGGAGCCTCCCGGCTCAGTGAAGGAGCTGCCATTAACCTCATCTAACCTCACTGGCAGGCTGAGACCCCAAGTCCCTGAAGCCGGACGGCATAGAGGCTGAGAGCTGGGCTCTGGGGGCTGACTGCAGGGCTGGGCAGCTGGCCCCATCACCTGCCAGTTGTGGGCAACCTTGGGCAAGTTACTTAACCTCTCTAAGTCCCAGTTTCCTGTCTATAAAATGGAGATGAGAAGGAGGACCTGCCACTGTTGGGAGGATTAAACAAAACAATCCATGTAGCATTCTTAGCTTGGGACCTAGCACATGTTAAATGCTCCATAAATGTCAGCAATTCTTATCATTATCAGCCCAGTCAAACAAGAGTAAGAGGGCTTGGGAAGGAGCCAAGGCCACTCACTAGCAGTGGCAACCCTCCAGGAATGGGCTGGACCCTCCTCTGTCTTCCTCATGTCCACTCAAGCTGGAAACCTCTTCCTCTCTCTCACCTTCTACCTTTCACCAGATCACGCAGCCCTTCACCAGATCCCCCCTTAAATAGCCCCTGAGTCTGTGAATTTTCTCCACCTTCACTGCCCAGCGCAAGCCCAGGCCACCGTCACCTCTCCCACAATGGCAGCGATAGCTTCCTCATGTCTCTTCTCTGTCCTGCAGCCAGGGGGGATTCTAAAATGGCCAATCTGGGCTGGACATGGTGGCTCACACCTGTAATCTCAGCACTTTGGGAGGCTGAGGCAGGTGGATCACTTAAGGTCAGGAGTTCAAGACTAGCCTGGGCAACATGGTGAAACTCTGTCTTTACTAAAAATACAAAAATTAGCTGGGCGTGGTGGTGAATGCCTGTAATCCTAGGTACTCAGGAGCATGAGGCACAAGAATCGCTTGAGCCCAGGAGGCAGAGGTTGCACGGAGCTGAGATCGTACCACTGCACTCCAGCTCCAGCATGGGCGACAGAGTGAGGCTGTCTCAAAATAAATAAATAAAAATAAATAAATAAATAAATTAAATGGCCAATCGGAGTGGGTGCCCACCCCTTCAACCTCCCTTACTCTGTGACTTCCCAAAGCTCTCCCCTGTCCACAAGGCTGGCATGATCTGCCTGATGCCCCAGGTACTTCCCCATCTCACAGCCTTTGCACAGGGGTTCCCTCTGTTTAGAACACTCATCCCCTCACCAACCCCACCTCATCATTCAGGGCTCCTGGAGGCCTCCCCCGGACGTGCTTCTCCACCCATCTACATTACTGCTCTGTTATTCTTCCACAAGGCAGCTTAGGCTTTTGCTTTGAGGCACTTACCATGTGGGATTCTGCATTCCAGCATGTGGCTATTTACTTAAGACCTGCTTCCCCCTCTAGAACGTGAGCTCCTGGAGGGTGGCGAGGGGATCTCTTGCTTGCTTCTGCTCTCCTAGCTCACTGCATGACTCTCAGGCTGAGCTGGAAACACTTTGTTGCATAAATGAATTCTGGTCCCCACCCAAGCACACAAAGAGTGACCCACACTGCTGCTGGGCCAAACTGCACTGAAAAATGGCACTGCTGTGTGGACGTGGCCCTGCCCACCTCCAACAGGCACAGCAGGAAGGGCTGAGGAGCCCTGGCCAGGCAAGGGGAGTTCATGGACACAGCACCGACACCTGCCCACTCCTTCCCAGTGACCCAGTCCTGCCTCCCACAGCCGAGCAGTGCTCCGTCAGTATGGATAGCCTGGACAGCTGGGGTCAAGCAAGAAGCCTGGCATGTCAAGGGCTCTGGCCCCTGGCCCCGCCTGGCTCTCCACTGTTCCCAAGTGTTTTTTCCCCATCACTCCCTCCTTGGCCCAGACCCATCCTTTCATGTTATTCCTCTGGGGATGGTCTGTATCCTACCAGAGGCTTACTCAAGGAAATAAATTTTTAGTGGTGGAATATTGAGCATGTTATAGTCTCGGCCAAGGGTAGACAGCTGGGAAGGGGGTCCCTCAAACCTCACCTCTTGGGCAGTTGCCTCCTGTCCCTGTGAATACAGCTGCTTTGCCAGGATCAGCCTCCAAACTCCGTCTGGGCTAGGCCACCTTCCTCCTAGGATTCAACTCCAAGTTGGCACCTCATGTTTTTCTTCCTCCGTGCCTTCATTTGCATGCCGTTCTGGTCCCCTGCAGGGCCTCCTTCTCCTCCCCCAACACCACTGTCTCTTATCTGTCGAAGGCTACCCTTTTCTTTAAGATGCAGTTCAAAAGCCACGTCTCCTTTAGGCCAATCCTTTTGGATCTCCCAATCAGATATAACTTCTCCTTCTGAATCCTCCGAAAGCACAGTGCTGATAACCATCAATCATGTATGGCTTTGTCTGAAGGATACTGGGGGACAAAAGCTGTCTCTGTTGTACCTGACATTCTAGAATGTTATGGTTCTTTGTTGCATGTAATACAAGTTGGTGCTGGTTATAAGCTTCTGAACAATGATAAGGATGGTGCCATTTGACATTCAGTAGGTGCATTCGACTGTAAGTTCCTCGAGGGTGTGGAGGAGAGTTCCACGTCTTTGTCTCCCTAGCACCTAGCATGGTGCCGGCACATGGTAAATTCTCAGCAAATGGTTCTCTGGTTCAGAATGGATGTTCACAATAACGGCTTTAGCTTGCCACGCCTGTCGTATGCCAGGCACTGTGCCGAGCCCTGTCCAAATGCCATCTCACTGAGTTTTCACAGTCACTCTCTGGGTCAGGCACCAATAGTCTCCACTAAGAAGTAACCCCACAGGGCCGGGATTTGTGTCTGTTGTGATCACTGTTGTACACATATCAGTGCTTGACATGGAGCTGGCCCTCATAAATATTGTGTGAATAAGTAAATCAGTTAATGAGTATCCATTGTATAGATGAGGAAACTGAGGCTCAGATTTACCTAAGGTGTATCATCTGGTAACCGGGAGAGTCAGAATTGGCACCCAGATTGATCTGACCCCAAACCCTGTATTCTTCAATACTGAACTCTACCAGGTCAAGAGATGGAGTAGGAAGGCTTGAGATACACAATCCATATATTTAAGGCACTTTCCATCTGGTAGAGAAACGGAAATGTACGCACACAGCGGCACATGCGATGGCAACAGAACCTGTGAGACCCTGGGGAAAGAAATGACTTTTCAAGGGCCTGCTGCAAGAGAGGGGTTAAGCCTGGCCTAGAGCACTAGTTTCCTGAAAACTTGATTTTTTTGTATGTTATTCTAATGTGCAGAGGGCCTGTACCAGGCCTACTGAGGAGTGAGCTGATGTGGCTGAGAGTTTTGGAATGTGAGGCTGGGATGACAAGCCTGGAGCCTGGCTCTTTTGCGCTCAGTGAGGATTGCTCCAGCCCCAACTCTCAGCAAAGCCCAGGTGTGGGGAGCAGGGGAGGCGAGACAGAGACGAGGAGGGACAGAAATATGGTTTCACACCTGGCCCAGCAACTCCTGCCGCTGGAAAGCACGGCGACTCAGGATGTCAATGCCCGCCAGAGGCTTGGGCTTCATGTCCTGCATTTTGGAGACTGTATCTGGAGAGGCACAGTGCGAGGGGCATCGGGAGGCAGGAGTGGGACCGCAGCAGAGAGGGGTTTTGCAACCAACCTCTGGCTGGTCAGCACAGGAGTGTCAGGTTCTTTGCTGTGGGGCTGCTGGGGATGAGAGAGGCAGGAAGAACCCCTGCGAAGAGCAGTGAGAAGGGTAGGAGCCAGGGGCCTGCAGGGTGATGGCAGGCTTTGAAGTGTGTGGAGGGCTGCCGCAGCTGAGGCCCAGCTATACCCAGAAGGGAGCAAGCAGCCTGATGCCTGAGCTGGCCTGGCCCATTCGCCTCTTGTAGCCCACCCTGAGAACCTTCTTGCTGTGGCTGAGCTGGGCCCTGTCTAGCCCCTGCCTCTGCACCCCCATCACTGGCCTCAGAAGCACAGGTTCTCTCTTTACCTTCACTCTGGGGAGGCAGACAGTGGTGCAGGCTGGGTGTGTGGGTCTGTGTGTCAGGGGGTATTGGTGAGGATCTGGGGAGAGGTGCCTGGATAGCTCTGATTCTACCCACCTAAGAGATCTGAGGCCCTCCCAGCTCCTCCCCAACTTCCACCCTCAGTGTTGTCGCAGAAACCCTCGAGCTGATCGTGCCTACACGGGGTCAAATGCATTCTTCTCACCGGCCTTGGTCCCAACGTGTCATGTAACCTTGTGTTAGTCACTCAACCTCTTTGGCCTTCTGCTTCCACGTCTGTAAAATGAGAAGTCGCCTCCGTCCACACATTTGCCCCTCCCCGCCGCCAACCCACACTTGCCCCAGACAGAGCTGGCAACAAGAGCAGAGTGTGGAGTGGGAGGGCCTGCCATAGCATGGGCCTGGAAGGAGGAGAGAGGCAAAGCCTGCAGCCAGATCCTCACTCCCCGCCGGAGCAGCCCTGAAAATATTCCTGGCTGGTCTTTGCCTCTCCACGCTCACAGCAGCCTCGTGATGACGATGGCAGGGGGATTCTACAAGGAGGACAGAACATTCTTCCATCTCCTCCCGCCCCAGCTGCTGCCTGGGATCCACTCATCCCCTTCTTCTCTCCTTGGCCTCACTCTGCAGCGGGGGGCTCACTCACTCCAGGGTTCAGCCACTGTCCACCTGCTAATGAGCTAAGAAGTCCCAAACCTCCACCACCAGCCCAGCGTTCAACTCCATGGGCCCCAGGGCTGGGCACCAGGGTGGGAAGGGATGTGGTCCTCCCGCTAAACACAGCACATGGTGCCTCCTGGGGCTGCACAGGGAGGAGGCCTTGCCCAGACCTCTATCCAGGGCACCAGGAACCTCTGGCCGACTGCCTACAGGACATCTCCACCTGGATGTCCCACAGGCCCTCAAACTCAACCTGACCCCCGAGCACCTCAGCTCCTTTCCCTTTTCATAATGGGACCATTCTCCCAGGGACTCAGTCTTCACACCTTTGCCCTTTCTGATGTCCCTTCTGCCTTTCTCTCACCTCTACTCTCTTCCCAAGTTCCGTCGGTCCTGTCCCATGCTGTCCTTTTTCTCCATCTTTTCTGCTCCTGGATCACTTGTCTTATTTTCTAGTGATCAAACATGCGTAGAGCATGAGTTAGATGGCTGGCTCTGTTCCTAGTGCCTTACAAATCCTAGCTCTCCTCATTCTCGCAACCTTCAGTTTACAGATGAGGAAACTGAGGCACAGAGAAGTCAAGCATCTTGTGCAGGGCCAGGATTGGGACCCAAGCAGCCTGCTCTAGAGCTGGGCTCTGACCCTCCACAAGAGCCATCATTGAAGTTCCACTTACCCCTGCACCTTCAATCTCTTCCTCTCTCCATCCCTCCCACATGTTCACAGATGAAATCTTCTTCTTTTCTGATTTAAGAAAACAATATAATGACCAGCATGGCAAACAAGGCAAAACCTTGTGTCTATTAACAACAGAAAAATTAGACCGGGTGCGGTGGCTTACGCCTGTAATCCCAGCACTTTGGGAGGCCGAGGCAGGTGGATCACCTGAGGTCAGGAGTTCGAGACCAGCCTGGCAAACATGGTGAAACCCCGTCTCTACTAAAAATACAAAAATTAGCTGGACGTGGTAGTGGGTGCCTGTAATCTCAGCAACTTGGGAGGCTGACAGGAGAACCGCTTGAGCCCAGGAGACAGAGGTTGCAGTCAGCAGAGATCGTACCACTGTACTCCAGTCTGGGTGACAGAGTGAGAGTTCACCTCAAAAAAAAAAAAAAAGGCCGGGCGCGGTGGCTCAAGCCTGTAATCCCAGCACTTTGGGAGGCCGAGACGGGCGGATCACAAGGTCAGGAGATCGAGACCATCCTGGCTATTACGGTGAAACCCCGTCTCTACTAAAAAATACAAAAAAAACTAGCTGGGCGAGGTGGCGGACGCCTGTAGTCCCAGCTACTCGGGAGGCTGAGGCAGGAGAATGGCGTGAACCCGGGAGGCGGAGCTTGCAGTGAGCTGAGATCTGGCCACTGCACTCCAGCCTGGGCGGCAGAGCGAGACTCCGTCTCAAAAAAAAAAAAAAAAAAAAAAAAAAAAAAGAAAGAAAAGAAAGAAAAGAAAAGAAAAAATAGAAAACAATATAATAGCAAAAATTAGTACAGAGGTTGGTCTTTCTTTTTTTTTTTTTTGAGACTGAGTTTCCCTCTTGTTGCCCAGGCTGGAGTGCTGTGGCTCAATCTTGGCTCACTGCAACCTCTGCCTCCCAGGTTCAAGTGATTCTCCTGCCTCAGCCTTCCAAATAGCTGGGATTACAGGCATGTGCCACCACATCCAGCTAATTTTAAAAAAATTTTTAGTAGAAACGGGGTTTTACCATGTTGATCAGGCTGGTCTCGAACTCCTGACCTCAGGTGATCCATCCACCTCGGCTTCCCAAAGTGCTGGGATTACAAGCATGAGCCACTACGCCTGGCCTGGTTGGTCTTTCTGAATCATGACTTTAAATATGTCATTTCCCTGTTCAATAAAACCTTGAGGCCAGGCACAGTGGCTTACTCCTATAATCCCAGCCATTGGGAGGGCGAGGTAAAAGGATCACTTGAGCCCAGGAGTTCCAGACCAGCCTGGGCAACATAGTGAGATCCCGTCTCTACCAAAAATAAAATTAACCAGGCATGGTGGTGCAGGCCTGTAGTCCCAGCTACTTGGGAGGGTGAGATGGGAGGATTGCTTGAGCCTGGGAGGTTGAGGCTGAAGTGAGCCATGATCATGCCACTGAATTCCAGCCTGGGCGATAGAGTGAGATTCTGTGTCAAAAATTAAATAAATAATAAAATAAAATAAAGCTTGAAACTCCCCATTACTACCCCGCCTTGTACAAACAGAATAAAGCCTATCATAGGGCTGGAGATTTGAGGATGTTACCCCAATAAGTCCCCCAGCTCCCCTGGGGAGCCCCTTACTGTTTCTGATTCCCCTGAGGCACTCTTCCCCCAGCCCTCAGCCACCCCAGAACTGTCCGTCCTCTCCTGCCCTGGGGTGAGTCTGAAGGGACCTCATCCTTGAAGAATGGCTTCTACCAAATGTGTCAACAGGGACAGAGACGACAGACATGACACATGAATGAACAAATGAGTAACTGTGGAACTGAGCTGCCTTATGTGGTGGAAATTACTTCATTAAACAATATTTGTGGAACACTTAAGGCTAACACTAATAGCTAACACCAGGAGCTTACTGTGTGCTTATGGTCATCAAACATGCATACAACATGTGTTAGATGCCTGGCTCTGTTCTAAGTGCCTTGCAAATCCTACCTCTCGTCATTCTCACCACTCTCACAACTCATCTCTCACAGTCTCTCATACAGCTTTTAGATAGAGGAGCTCGGATCTGGAGCACAGCGGCTTGACTCTGTAGCCTGGGCTTTCAACTACCACACCTAACTATCACCAGATCCCAGAGGAATGTTACACGAATGTTTAATATTTGAGTAATGTCGGCTGGGCACAGTGGCTCATGCCTATAATCCCAGCACTTTGGGAGGCTGAGGAGGGCAGATCACCTGAGTTCAGGAGTTCAAGACCAGACTGGCCAACGTGGTAAAACTCTGTCTCTACCAAAAATACAAAAAGTAGCCAGGAGTGGTGGCGTGCGTCTGTAGTCCCAGCTACTCAGGAAGCTGAGGCAGGAGAATCGCTTGAACCTGGGAGGCGGAGGTTGCAGTGAGCTGAGATTGTGCCACTGCACTCCAGCCAGGGCAACAAGAGCAAAACTACACCTCAAAACAAAGAAATTTTTTTTAGTAATGTCCAAAGACCACCTCATGGGAACATATACCCTAGTTACTTGAGAGGCTGAGGCAGGAAGACGCTTGAGCCCAGAAATTCAGACTGTAATAAATCATGATCATACCACTGCACTCCAGCTTAGGCAACAGAGAGAGACCCTGTCTCCAAAAAAAAGTTGGGGGGACATATAAGCAATGTCAAGGTAATGGAGTCCAACATCTGAGAAACATCATAGCACTGACAATGTCAACATGTCTGAGGAATATAAGGATTTTGTATAATGCTGTACTTTACTCAACCAAATACTTATCAACCCACTACATCCATGTCAGGCACTATTTTAACCCACAGGTATAGGGCAATGACACAACACCCCAAAACTCCTCTTCTGTAGCTGACATTCTCATGGGAGAGACAGAGAGAACTAAACAAACAAACCAACAAACAAAAAACATGTCAGAGGTGACAATTGACACAGAAAACATAAAGCTTAATCAGAAAAAAGGGACTGTCCAATGTACTGGATGGGGGTACGTGGGTGGCATTGCTACTTTGTTTAACATCAGGAAGACCACCCCTGAGACAATGTCTGAGCAGAGTAGTGAAGTTAGTGAGGGAGGGAACCATGCAGTGATCTGCAGAATTTCCAAACAAGACACAGCCAGTGCAAAGGCCCTCAGCTAAGGGCATGCTTAGCCCCGTCTAAGGAATGGCCGAGAAGTCTGTGTGGCTGGAGCAGAGTGAATGCGAGAGAAGGAATAGGAGGGATTCACAAACATGAAAGTGCTGAGGCTGATGAAAGTCAGTCTCTGCGTAGTGCCACGTCTGGGAAATATTAATAACTACAATTGATGGAGTGCATTCCACACACCTGGCACTGCATTCAGTCCAACTCACACCAAAACTGCTACAGGAGCTTAGAGTGTAACAGGGAGTCAGTCAAAGGAACTTCACAGCGCCACGTGACAGGCTAGGGAACTAAGAAGAGGAGCATCTAACTCCAACACGGGGAAGGAGGCTTCCTGGAGGAGGTGGCATTCAAGCTGTCAAGCAGGAGAAGGAAAACACTTCCAGGATGCAGATGCAGAGAGGGAGGGAAGGCCAGAACCTGGACCAGCTGGCCAGAGCTCCAGGAGCAGTGCTGGGGACCAGGGCATAGCTTGTTGGAAGAAGAGCTCAGGTTTGCAGAGTTGAGAGAGCCTCTGGACACGGAGGCCCAGGCTTAAGTGTGTTTGTACAAAATTGGTGGTTATGGAGTGGGGGACAAAGGGCAAAAAGGGATGGGATAAAGACTTTGATAATTAGGCCAGGCGTAGTAGTTCATGCCTGTAATCCCAGCCCTTTGGGAGGCTGAGGTGGGCGGATCACTTGAGGTCAGGAGTTGGAGACCAGCCTGGGCCAGTGCATTTCACATGGTAAAACCCTGTCTCTACTAAAAATATAAAAATTAGCCGGGCATGGTAGTGCATGCCTGTAATCCCAGCTACTTGGGAGGCTGAGGCAGGAGAATCACTTGAACCCGGAAGACAGAGGTTGCAGTGAGCCGAGATTGTGCCACTGCACTCCAGCCGCAGAAACAAAACAACACAAAGAAAAAAAAAAAAAAAAAAAAAAAAAAGGCTTATAATTTGTCTGCTCACAGGGCCCTGCTTTCTCAAAGTCTTTAGGTGGGTCCCTGGGCAGTGAGAGGGAAGCAGAAGGTAAGTGGCCACCCCCACTTGTCCCAGGTCTTAGTTTCTCATCCCATCATAGCAGGTTCAGATCCTTCTTTTAGGCAGATCTGTGGGTCCTCGCTCTGGGGCAACCCAAGACATTCTGGTAGGAGACTCCTCAGTTAATAATACCTCATACACTTCCAGCACTTCGTGGTCTTTTATGTGCTTTTACTGCCATAACCTGTGCGTCTGACAGTCAGTCTAGGGTGGACAGAGCTATTCTAAACCTCTTTTTCATAGGAGATGCTGCAACTCAGAGAGGTTAAGGGCCTTGCCAAGGCCACGTGGCCAGTGGGTGACTAAACTGGGACTTGATCCCAGCTCTTGAGATTGCAAACCCCACAGTGACACTGCGGCAGCTACAGAAAACGGGGCCTAATGATGGCTGGGTCACAAGGACACGTCTGGGGAAGCGAGGAGAATGAGCTCTGGCATGGGAGGAATGGAACGTGGGGAAGATGGAGACGGGGTGATGGAAGCTAAGCGTGGAGGCAGGAAGAGAGCTCTGGCAGGGGTTGTAGAGGCTTTGAGACAGAACTAGCGGTGTCTCCAGAAAGATCCCATGAAATGTCCCAGCAGGGTTGAAGGAAACAGAAGAGGTGTCCTCCCACCCCATGTTTCTGTGAACCAAGGCAGGGAGGGACCTACTGTGTGCATTTCATAGGCAAGAAAAAGGAGCAAGGACAGGTGGCTATTGGCTTGCCCCAGACCCACAGAAGCGCAGGGCCCAGGGGCCCTGTTAGCAGCGGGTAGCACAAGCGAGACTTCCAGACCTTCCCCTCCACCGTGGATGATGAAATAGATGATGAGAGGGGAGGTGGAGATGGAGACAGAAATCAGGGCCGCATCCAAAGAGGGAGGGGGAAAAGGCAGAGGCACAGCTGGAGCTGCAGAGACGTGCAGATACGGTGGAGAGATGAGGCCCTGACGCCTGGCTCTGGTTTC